TAACTATAAGAAATAATAACTTTAAGATTAAAATAGTACTACAATAATAAGTATCATGTTTTTTTGAAACTCTATAATATTTAAAATAGAGATTATATTTTATAATAACATTCTTTAAAAAAAATTAAATTTAAAATTAATTATTATTAATTATTAATTTGTGAATTTCAGAATTGATTTTGGTTGATCAATTAGTAATTTGAATAAAATCCAATGACAAAATCTTAAAGAATCTTGCACATGATCTTGTTAATAGCTTATATAGCTATATATATATATATATATATACAAATATGGAGCCAAAAATAAGACTTTCATGGAGCCTAATTTCCTTAATCTTTTCAATATCTTTTTTGTACTCTAATATTAATTTATGGCTTTAGTCTTTTGTATTAGATAATAACTATTTTAGTATTTTAAAGAAAATATTACAATTATAATTTTATATGTTTTCTTCCTTCATATTTATACACTAATATGTTTTTTTTTCAAAAAAATCCTTTTAAGGTTGTTTCTTTGATAGTTGTATAAAAGTATAATTTTTAAATACATTATGCAAACTCTGATTTGTCTATTTAAAAGAACAATATTCATTTTTAAAAAAATCACAACACATGTCAGAAAATTTAATAATACTTATTTTAAAATATTAGAGTATTATTTTTTAACTTAATTTTACTCTAATTTGTTTTAGAACTCAAATATGCAAATAGGAAAAATACATACATATATATATATATATATATATATATATACCTTATAATATTGAATTTTTTTTTAAGAAACATCAAATGTTATTAAATATCTTTGATATGAATTACATTATTATTTCAAAATCAAAGACTTCTATATGTCTATACATACATACATACATACATTTATATAGGGATTTGTTAATGCCACACCCCAGCTTTGTTAAAACCACGCCTTTCAAACCAATTCATAATTCATTAGTCCTATCTCGTTGTACTTCCACATTCCGTCATCATTCTCCATGAGGCAGCCCGTCCTGTGTGCCCGTCCTTTCCATCTGCCCGAAATTCTGCCCGATACATTGCCCAGGTGCCTAGGGCAGTTCGTCCAGACTGCCCAAGAGTGCGGAGAGCTTGTACAGCGCTGCTTGTTTTCTCGGCACCGAGGATTATTCCGATGGAGAGGCAATGGATACGATCTGGCCATTTTTTCATTTACAACTTTTTTTTTATTGAACCACTTTTGCATGTATTTGAACACTCGTTTGCTTAAGCTTTTAGAACTTTACAGAAAGACACTTTGAACGTAATATGTTTTGGAATAGCTCATTGCCGTGATGTAGTGGATGCCTCTTGTGCAGAACATCTCGTGGAGCTTCTGAAGAAATATTTTCAACTATACAGAAGCGTGATGAAAGATATCTGATATTGTTGGTTTCGGTCCCTCGCCGGAGGGTTTGAATGCTACTTGCAATGCCCTTGGAACTTTGTTGAGAGCACCTTCGTGCTTTAGAACTCCTTCAATTTGTTGAATGCTACAAGAATGCATTTGCGCTCTGACTGATTGCATCAATGCGGACCCTATATATGTAACACAAAAAGGACTCATGTCTGCTGCTCATCTGCTCCAGGAGGCTTATATCTTCTCCTCTAAGAAAACAATTCCTTCTGAGCAGTTTATCGTATTGACAGACTTTTTGATGACTCATTTCCACTTTCACATGCTTTCGATTTTTACTACTTACTGGAATAATATCTCAGACGAAACAACTACAAATACTTTCAATTTAGTCAAAAATATTTTGCAAACTGAAGATGCTATCCAGACCAGGAAATTTGCGAGGATTCTTGTATCAAATCACTGGATCAGTATGGTGTACGAAACCATGTCAAGATTCTCCACTAGAGATTTTAATCAAATTGTCTACAGTACAATAAACAAAATGATTGATAGACTTTCCCTGTCCGAGGAGGCTATTCAAGACGTCATGTTACATTTATCCACTGACGTAGAAGGTTTGCCTTCATTACTTGAATAGAAAAACAATGGAGACTTGCATCTTATTGCAGCGCATCAAGCAATTATTGCTATTCTATTCACTACCATTGAACACGGAGACATGTAACATTTTTTACCATCCTTCTAGTATTTAAAGGTACTAAATTATCTTTAACATTGTGTTACAGTGGATATAATGGCAGGATTTGGAAGATGTGTGTATCAGACATGTACCCACAAGCCCTTTTCTCTTTTTTCCAATCTGTTCAGTTTGAATTCAAGAAATCCTCTAACTTGATTTCAAAGTTGATTCCAACCTTGGATGATGTAAAGGGGTTTCAGTATCCAGCCATAGACTAATGAGGATTTGATGACTTGATTCAAATGTCAGCAGGTTTGTGGGAAGTGATAAGCTCATGAGCTCCTTGGAGCAACATCGTCTTATGAATTCTTCCTCTTCAATGCTTGCATTGCATCCCCATCTTCTGCAGCCCTCAAACATTTTTTTCTTTTGTTTAGTCATGGACATGAAGATGAGTCATAATAGAGTTGCTTCCACAATAGAAAGGCTGAAAATAATATGGTTGGTATTCTATAAATAGAGTACATTAGTAGTTTTTGCCTCTACTAGCTGCCAATACATGCATTCAAGTGGGTCATGAAAACAGAGATCATTTTTTCAATCAACAAACACTTACTATTAAGGAATTTGTATGCTGGTTAGGAAGCCCATGCAATAATGGCACAGTTGACCCAAGAAGATGATCACATGACAGATTCTTATGTCTCTATCCTTTGACTTAATTGAGAGGCATAGTAAGGATGAAATTGGGATGGTTATAATAGGTATTCCAATTTAGACCTGAGACACTAATTGAACACTATACAACAGAAGATTTGACATCAATTGTGGTATTTCTTGCCAATTGCCTGTTTGTTTCATGTGGCTGCTTGCATAAGAGTAGGATTTAGTTGCAAAAATATTTGTAACAACCATATAAAACATTAAAAAATATTTTTTGGACTCTGACTGTGTATAGACCATTTAGAATAGATGACAGACTAGAGTGTAGTGCCTACATGTTTTGTCAAAGCAATTGCTGAGACAGGGTGCCTTGCATAGCATGCAGTTTAGTATAGGTATTGTTGATTAGCTATTCATTAAATGAAACTTTCTCATTAAAGATGACAGTCTCACAAGACTCGATCTATGCATTTGTTTTCTATTTATACTGTATGTGAAAGGCTTACCTGTTAAATGTTGGATAAATAAGAAGCCATTTAAATAGAATGCAGCATAGACCTTTTCCATCAAAGGTTTGCAAAAAATGAATTGGGTAGTAGATGCCTATGCTCTACATGGTCTGCACAAATCCACATAGCCACTCAACTATCCTGCTTCAGAACATGAAGACAACCTTCACAAATGTGAACAATACTAACATTTCATCACCCCCATCATAGGTATCAAGCAGTTATTATTAGAATTGCTATTAGTCTCAAGTACTTAGAGAGTGATTCTCTTCCTTCAGCCAAAAGCAGATAGCCACAATGCAATGGGAAGACTTTAGCATTGTTTTTTATGTCAGGATTAACCAATGTAACAAACAACAAGAACTTACAAAATATATAAAGTTGTAAATGGAATAATGGGCAGACAGTAGCCATCACCTCTCCATTGGAATAATCCTTGGCCCAGAGAAAACGAGCAGCAGCTCTACAAGCTCTCCGCACTCTTGGGCAGTCTGGACAAGGCTCCCTTCAGCAACTCGAGCACTGTTTTGGGCAGATGAGAAGGTCTTGCACAAAAAATGAGCTGCCTCATGGAGGATGATGACAAAGTATGTGCTTACATTACTTGGATAAATAGATATAAGTAGAAATAGGTAGAAACATATTAGATAGATTATATCTTTTTAAAGAAGTGGCAAGGAAGTATTTTAAAAGTTGATAAAATATTTTGATGTTAATAGATATGCAATGTGGCTATTGAACTTGTATTTTAAGTTATTTGTTTTTAAAAAGTGGTATTAGAAGCAACCTACAACTAGATGCTTTGATTTAGATCACAAGCCTCATGGCTTTTAGAAAGCTTCCATGAGACCTTTTTGATAACTAGTATATACGGAGGTAAGGCTAAAACAATCCTCAATATAATCAATACCTTTTTATTTTTTTAATTTTAATTCATGACTCTTAGATTCTTTTATAGTTAGTAGAAGCCATTCTAGTTTTTTTTTTTTTTTTTTTTTTTTTTTTTGTATGGACACTATTACTACAAAACATTTAAGTCCAATTGCGACAAACTATACCACCCAATCTACTTTTTAATTATTTTTTAAATTATAAAAATATTTCGTTACAAAAATTCAATATTTTTCTTTATTTTTTGAACAATCAATATTTAATCAAATTTAAATTTTAAATTAAACTATCATTATTATTCAACATAAAAATACTCATGAATACAAACATTATACATATTGAATTAATAGATGCAAAAAACATATCATACTAGAAGATATAATACACACCTTTACAATGCGAACTATAAATACAACCTTAAGGACAAAACATGAAAATATGTCAACAGAAACAAATCTATGCTAGAAAGAATTATAAAGCAGAAGGAAAAAAAAATCAAATCAAATCAAATAGCAGCATTTATGTTTTCCTCTAATTCTAGCTATCCCTTTCGTGTCAGGAGTCTAATATAGTATTGTTAAACTACTTATAATTGTGCCTTGTTCCAGGAAATACATCTTAAATTTATTGGAACTTGGATGAAACATCTGATTACCATTGTATTTGTTTACATTCAAGTGGCATTCTCCACCGCAGTTATTGGCACTTTGCACACTGTACACGTGTACGAGTTCTGAAAGACTGCAGCACTTGTGTAGATCGAGTATAAAAATAACTCTCTGTTGGCTTTTGCTAGCATGAACACATGCAGGCACGTGACCATGAACAGCTATAATCATGTGAAGCACTAGGCACACGTACGAAGAGTGGCAGAGAACAACTCGTTCGACTCCAGCTGCGTGACAGAACTGAAGCATTCAAATTGAAACGATTATCCGATTAGCTTGCTGAGTGCAGGTAATCAGGAGCGCTGAGGTTCTCTGAATACTGAAGCACACCATACATGAAGTTTAATAAACATAAGAGAACAATAATTACAAAATGCCTAGTCCAGCTCATAAAAGAGCGAGCTCTCAGTCAATCTTGCAAATTTGAAGCTTGCAATATCAAGGTGCCCCTTGCCTTCCTGCTACACCTAGACAACCTCAACAGGATAGATAATTCACAACCGTTTCATCACGGCCATGCAACCCGTGGTGACCCAGACACATTCACGACCCCTTCAGGGTACGCAGAAAAGGAGTAGAACTTCAGACCAGAGCAATGGAGCTAGCACCGCCAGGTGGTTTTTTAATGCCACCCAGGACATCCCGGGCTCTAGGTTTGTCATCTGAAAAGATGTCATGACCAGCTATCTCCTTGAGCTTGGCCTCGCTCAAATGATGGTGATGGGGCTTGGCATTAGGTACATTATTCGCATCACTGAAGATATCATGTCCAGAAAGCTCCGCACACTTCAGCCCCGAAAGTTTGTGAGTGACATTATCAATCTCCTCATCTGCGCCAAAGGATATCTGGCTCCGCCCTCCAGCAGGCTGAGATACAAAGATCAATTCTTAATTAAAAAAATGATTTAACATCTCCATCCGCCCCACGCTTTTTTTTAGCGTCACATCATCATCAGAACACCATCCAGAAAATCTGTCAAGCAAGGGCATGACTTTCTTTAACACTTACATTGGAAATCCTCACTGACGTATGCAAGCTTCGTGGTTGTGGTTGGTCCTGATTGGTCTTTGACTCTTCTCTCATTTCAAATGACCGGTTATTCTTCGGCTGGTCTGGCGGGGGAGGTCCAAAGATGTTGCTACCCGTCAACTCCTTCGCTTTCGCATTTGAAAAGCTTCCTCGTCTGGCGTGAATATCGTCTGTGGTCTCGCGCGTGCCACTAAGCTCCCTCTGTTTTGCTACCTCTGGGATAGTCACTGGCTTCTTAGGTGATGCGCTCTCCTCGCTACCGAATGTTATTTGGCTGACTCCACCAGCTGGCTGAAGGTCAACAAAAAAGAAAAGAAGTTTGAACAACTTGTTTATTCCTTGTTTGATGAATGCTTTTCTTCGTAAAAGACAATTGCAGCACTGACGCCGAGAACTACAACGTTTTTTTTTTTTTTTCGCAAACATGTTCAATAAAGGTGTAGTACAGTTCTTACGAGTTCTATACAATTCACAAGTATTTTGAAGGATTTAATCATTATCAAGTTCCACGGAAACCACGTTTGATTCTCAATTACCTCGTTTCCTAGCCCAATTCTATGGTCTAGAGGTTGAAAACCATAAGGCAGAAATCCATTTGAAGCCAAGTTGGTAAACTAGTCCTATTCTGGGTAACAGGTTGTAACAGTTGTACATCACCTGCTAAATCATAAGTTAATGGCCGTGAAGCGCTTACAGCCATGTGTTCGTACAGATGCGTACTCTGACCTCATCAATCACAACAGTAAATATTATAACTAGGATACTAATCACGCATATTCAACATTAGGATACCAGACATGTGAAGTTGAATGTTTATACACTCACTTCGACCAAGAGGTAAGGAGAATAGCGACCACACCTGGTGCATGCGCACAGCAGTTCTGTCGGCACCTTTAGGTTCGCCATTAGCAGCGCCTGTTCCATTGAAAATGCCACTTCCATGCATTTCTCTTTTCTTTAAGTCCGAAGCAGGCCGACTGAGATGGAAATAAGATACTCAAATCAGCAGTGCAGACGCTGGATACTGAGGATAATTGATTCGCTTATATCAGACTATCGAACTAACCACTCAGCTTTCCCAAGATGATGTGATAGGTCATGAGGAAGCCATCGAAGGGCAGTTCTCGATCAATATCGTATGCATTACATTGCGACCCAAAAGCTACTCACAACAAGTCCACTGGCAAGACCAGTGAGCTGTAGCCGATAACTCTACACCATTCTCAGATCATATATACAGGTTATGATTAGTACTTAAAAAATAACAGGATAAACACTGCTTGGAAGTAAACATGATTTAAGTTCCAGAGCAAAAATGAAAACAGGATAAGTTCCAAAGCTACGCAATCGGACTAACACGGTACCTCTTCAATAGTGCTTCGACTTCTTCAGCAGTCACAGTCTCGCTAAACTTTATTGTGCTCACTCCACCTGCAGGCTGCATTTCGCAGAGACGGAACCATTGGGGAGAGCGGAAGAGCCATGAGCAATCAGTTTAGGGATAATTAGCTAAACGAGAGCTAAGAATAACCTATCCACACGCCCATACTGTATACGTTCAAGGAAAATACAGATCACTATACAGGCATGCCTTCGGCGCTGGTAAAAGGTAGAGCTCGAGAGCCCTTACGCAAGACCCGATCTCAAAAATAAGATGAAAAAAAATGTTGTAGTTTGATTTTCCATAAAATGTTCAAAATACGAAACTGCCTCAGGTTTGGAGGTTGCACCTGGTGCATGCGGATGGTAGGTCGGCCAACAGGACTTTCCTCGCTAGACATAATCATTCCATGGCAATCACCAATAGCATTGTGACGCATTACAGGCACTGGAGAACGCGGAACCTCAGGATTATCGGACCAAGTAAGTTGGACTGTAGACTCTCCTCCAGGTGGCCTGTAGCCTCTCTTGAGAACCACGAGGCTCCCATTATCGACAGGCATTGCGCTGTGATCACAACAAGCTCACTTAATTTCAGCGCGCGACACAGCAGCTCTTCGTCTCGAGATCTAACGAATACAAGCAGCTCTATAATATTCTTGTAACCTCTTCTAATCATGCCTATTTCAACCTCACTCCTCCAAACAATCAGGCTCTCCACAACAACGCAAAAGTTCACCCCTCACCTTCACTGTGGCACCAACTACCTGGGCCCGTTTAACTTCTCACCGGCCACTGTTACCCTTCAACTGCTCAAATGAGTTCCCCAGGAAGACCAAGGAGCCTTACCTCTCTCCCGATTCTATACAAGAAATCGTCCTCAGAAAACCACTGCAATCTACCGCGCTGCCTACGCCGCCTTCCAACTACTCCCACACAGACACAAAACACTTGCAAGCACCGCAACAAGCTTGTAACTGCACCAAACTCCTCAAAAAAGCGCGTTACCGCGAATGGAAGAGGGCGGGCGAGTCAGTAAGCTTGACGGAAACGGAACGCTAGCTGTTAAACAGCAATGTGGCAGCAGCGAGACGATGGGGGGAACAAGAGGACTGCAAGAGCCGGTGCTCAGACTGCGACGGACAGAGCAGGCGATCAGAAACAGAGAGCCCACTGGGAACCGGGACCAGGAAGCAAAAGCGGACGGGGCGGGGCCACGCCCGTGCCAGGATCTGGACGGTGGGGCTCCGACTAAGCCATGTGATCGCACGGCCACCGTGCGCCATACTTGCCGGGGAGATTCGTACAACCCAGTCCAAGCTCGCATGTTCTGGGTCTCCTTGCACAGGACAACATCTGGATTTCCCCCCTCCATCAAGTCCACGTCATCCAATTACCTTTACAAATTAGTCACGTTCCCACGTGGCATCTCTTGGAAAGATCGTAATTTATACATGTGAAGACAAAATTTTGACATCGGGTACTAATTAAAGGTACTGTGCTTGTTTGTTTGTTTGTTTGTGTGTTGAGATCATGTTCATTCGAGGATTTTGTCATTAATTTTGTTCTCTTTTCACTTACGAAGAATGATTTGGTTCCTATTTCTATATGTTATCGAACGATGTAATTATTCAAATTGCAAGGATATTGTTTGCTCATTTCCAGTGTTTTGTGGCAGCTGATATTTTATAAATTTGCATGATGTATTTTGTAATTAATGCTGTGGCATGTATTCTTTATGTTTTGTACGTGTATGCATATTTTGTGCTATACAAAATACTAAGTGAAAGAATTTGTATTTTTTTGTAAATACTCTGAATTTTTACATCAGGCATATTTTGTTACTAAGGTTAATATTACCAAAAATATTACATAGTTAGAAACTATACTTAGATTGTGTGAGTGTGTGTATATATATTTACACCCACATACACATATAAATACGACTTTAAATAGAATTAATCAAGGATAATCGGTTATTTCTATGCAATACTTTTGTGTTTTATAAGTACTCAGATAACCTAAAATCCAAAAAGCATACATACATGCATACATTTGTAAATTTGCAAAATTATAATTATCAAATGAGGAGCCTAGAATTTATCACTTATATTATTATTGTTATTATTATCATCATCATCACTTTAAATGATGGAAATTAGAGATTTTTTTTTTTTTTTTTTTTTTTTTTTTTTTTTAACTTTCAAAATTACAAAAATGTATCCACGACCTTCAACATCAAATATGTCATTAAATTAACTACAAACTACTTGAATGATATCAGTTGAATTTTGTCAATTTAAATTTCTATGCACATATGCATGCATGCATACAAACACTTATAAGATTAAAATAATTAAAAAATTAAAAAAAAATGATACTGAATTGTATGAAGAATTGCAAAAAATCCAAAACTCAAAAAAACATCTTCCAGTATAGTACTGATAAATAGATACACATAATATTCAAGTTCAAAGGATATTTGATGAAGACATTGTATCAAATAATCATATTGAAACAAAGTGGCATTTGTATCAAAATTAGCTAGTTTTTTGAAATACAAAAATTAAAAGAATTAAAAAAGCACAATATATAACGAAACAAAATCAAGTAATAAGTTCAATGAGGAAAATAAATAAATATTGTTTGAGATACTAGTATCCAAGCTAGTATCTCAACTATATTATACTATACTATACTACACTATACTATACTAGTATTCAGACTAGAAAACTAGGCATACTCAAATAATGCAAACAGAGTAAATATTTAAGTCTAAAAATATAGATATGATAACATTACTATTGTTGGTGACAATAAAAGTGTGAGATGGGCTGTTAATAAAAATAAAAAAGTTGAAACTAGAGTTCAACATAAGATATTTTATCAATCCTATTATACCAAATGAAGTTGAGTCAAATGATCCTCAAACACTCATGAATTTAAGCATATAATCGCAAGCAAACAATAACAATTATGAAAGGCTCCACCAAGAATAAACGCACCCACAAAAGGCAAATTTAGATCGTGGCCTTGAAAAAGTAAAAGAACAAATAAACTACCACAAAACACACAGAACAATCATGTTGTTGGGGACATGTGACAATCATTTCTTTCCATTTGTTTATTCATTCTTACTTGTATAAAATGATGCTTTCCTTTTTTGATTGGATTTATTCTCTATACATTTTTCGTATATTTTTTTGTGGATTTGCTTTAAGAACTTTGATTTGGCCTGAGGTGTGAAATAAAATTTGAAAATATTAGTAAATTAAGTTAATAAAAATAGCAAAAGAGGTTGTTTTAAAAGAGGTTGGAATAATTTTACTTACCTTCAACAAACTATTGACAGTTTAAAAATATTTAAAAGATTAGATTGGATTAATAACTTTGGTTGGGCATAGACTTCATAAAATAACATCAACAAATTGGAATACATTTAGACATATCTCTTAGCATTGTGGATGTAGACTAATTTTTGATTAATTACATAACATGCAAGTAAGACTATTGGTGTTCCACCAAAATTAATGCAATAGAGAGAGTAGTGATTGTAGACAATATTGTGCTTTCTTTTTTGTAATTCTTAGTCATTTGAATTGGATCTTTAAAAGGTATTCAAAAATAAAATATTTGATTGAATATTTTTTTGTAGAGTAATACATTTGCCAAACAAAACATTCGTCAAGTAAAACATCATTAAGAAATCAGATTGTAATAATTTTAAAATTTGATCACTCTAGTATCTAATAATTCTTACAATTTAGAATGAGGAATACTAGACCCACTATCGCAAGTCATATATATATATATATATATATATATATATATAGATATTTATTATGCTTGGTCTTTAATTTCTAAATATATAAGGAATACTAGTTCCAAGACATCGGATAAAATAAGTAAAGTTTGGGCTCATATGAGCCACTACCTACAATCTAACTTGCTATTTTTTTTTCGTAAGGTGTGTAATAGTTTCATATATTAAGATACAATAATTTTGCTTATCAACTCTCATTTTGATTCTTCCAAAGCATATTCTTTATTCTCCAATGGATTACAAAAAATTAAACATCTATTCAAAGAACATTCACAAATTCTTCTTATTTCAGAAGCTATATTAAAATATAAAATATTATATAATAATGGAAATAGCTATATATAAGCAATTTTATACTCTTCTATTGTTAAACCATAGAAATCTCTTCAACCACATGGTCACATTGCACATATAACCAAGAATTGGATAAGACTACATACATTGATAGGAGATCAACAATCATTTATAGTGTTCCAATTCCATATCTAATGTAAAAGAAAAGAATAAAGCAATTGGTTCATCTTCTTATATTTTATAAACATTAAATTTTTTCAAGTAAAAATCTAGTCTAAAGTTCTATACAATGATGAAAAAATTTCCAAGGCATTAGAGTTCCAAACATTGAAGGATATAGAGAGCCTTGTTGAGGCCTCTATGAAAATAGTCCATGTGATTCTCAAGAAAAAAAAAAAAGAAGCAAAAGAACTACTGTCAAGGACATGAATCTCAAAAAAAGATAATCCTCAATACACTCTTCTATCATTGAAGAGAACTAGAAAATCACTCAAAAGATGATGTAATATTAACTAGAATGGCTATTGCCAAAAAAAAGAAAGACTACAAAGTCTTGAAACAAAACTAAGACTAAAAATGCGTTGACAAGAATGAAAAAGGCTTCACTTTTGCCTCTATATATACTATCTAACTAAAAGCTATGTAGCGATGTCCTATAGGACCTCCAACATGTGTTGACTTTGCAAGATTAGACAGAGCTCTGATATTGTAGGTGTACTCTTGTCAATCTGTCAAGGATAAGAACTCAATGAAAAAATAATCTAGACAAGTGAGCCTTCACTCAAAGAAAGGTAACAAAATATAAATAAATAAGTATGTATATTGAAAGAGAAACTGAAATGGTTATTGCCAAAAGACAAGAAAACTAGAGACCCTTGAAACTAGACTAGAAGCAAGAAAGGAGTTGACAAGAATGAAGAAGGCTTCACTCTTGTTTTTATATATAATATCTAACTAGACGCTTCGTGGCGACATTCTATAGGACCTCCAATATGTATTGACTTTGTAGGACACATGCCTTGATTTACAAGGCAAATTTTTTTATGTCTGGGCCACATAGTTAGCTTGATCTTCAAGTTAACAACATGTGTGGCACATGGCCAACTTGTTGACCACGTTTCTAATTCAAAAAGTCAATTAAAGACACCTATAAAGTCAAAACAGCGTCTATAAAGCTTCTAGGAAGCTTTTATATTAAATACTATAGAATTAAATTACTTTTACATACTTTTACTTAGTTCTACCTATTTGTATATGTAATTACTAGCTTACATGAGTATGTCCGTGAGAGCGCCACGTAGTTGTCTTGTTCCACAAGCTACTATATGGAGATAATTGAAAAAATCTATGATGCGACGAATTGTATTCACCACATACTCTGATCTTTGTTCTGTTCGAAGATGATTGATAGGGCCTCTCAACCATCGGTACTATCCCATACCAGGGCAAAAAGACCACCCAGTTATTTGATCATTGTTGAGGCCTTCATAACTTCCTTCGAATAAATATATATATCCGTGATATTATCATCCACTTTTAGGAACAAGTTCCACGAGGAGCGGCCTTCATATGTTGAAGAAGTCGAAGATGTTACAAATTATATTTGCTACATATTCCAATCTTTACTTCTTTGAAGATGGTTGATAGGTCCTTTAAACTATTTATAGTATCCCCTACAAGGACGAGAAGACTACCATGTTATTTGATCATTATTGAGGCCTTCATAACTTCTTTCAAATAAAACATTTGAGACACCATCAGGAGTTGTTCGTACGTCTAATATAATCACTAAACATTGAGAGTCTCTTCCAAGGTCGTGATATCAAACATGTTGTATCAAACCAACTATTCGAGGAAAGACATGTCATTCTTGAGGATCTTCATCTCGATTCCGTCGTCTTGAGAATTCTGACAATTACAATGTTTTATCTGTTAAGTCCGTAAATAAAAGCTCTTAAGTTGAATCTGCTAGTTGTTGGTGCTCCATCTCATTACAAATACACAGAAGCTACAATGAAATATAGAAGGTAGAATGTT